AGATTGCTATAATAATAAATAAAAAAATATAAAAAAAATGATGGTTTAAATAGCCTGAAAATGTATAAATTCCCTGTTTTATTTTTGGTGCAGGTAGTGTGATTTTAGCATAGTTTATATCGACAATAGATAAATCATCTGTTTTCGTATATTTGAAACTGTTTTTAAAAAGTTTTTGACTTACGGCCATTCTTAGAAATTTGTAATTAAATAAGTTATCATTGCTGTTTTTCTGTAACACTTATTTTATAAGAACTATCGCCTTCAATATATTTTCAGAAGTTTCGTCAGAATAATTCTTATAATTCATAGTCCCAAAATGTTTTTTGGAATTTTGAGGCACGTTGCAAGTTACACACTTTTAAAGATATAAACATTTAAAATAAAAAAAAATCCCAATTTCAAACGAAACTTTTAAAACAATTCCATACTTAAATAACTCTTGGACAAACGAAGTTATCCGACAAAAGTGCCTGCCAGCGATCCCAAAAAATACCGCCAATTCAGAATTTTTTTTTAAAATAATTGTTTAACATTTTTATTATTATTTTTTTGTATCAGAGGTTCAGACGATCTATGTAATTGCCTAATTATTGGAAATTAGTGCAAACATTGTTCAAATAGTCGCACGACGAATATAACCATCATTTGAATTTAAAATGATTCATGCGCTTCCCAAACCTTACACCGGAAGTTTGAACTTTCTACATTACTAACTAAAGCAATTGAAGGAGAACTAGGCATCTAAGAAGTTGGTGTTTTAAAACAACTTTACGTATTTCCTCAATTTAAATTCAACAAACAGAGCATTCAATACTCGAGCGGTTCTGTTTCGCATATTCTCATAGAGACGTCGTTTCCTGGAGAAGAGAATAAAACATTCAGAAAGAGTACAAAAATTGGGAGGTCATATGTCAGCAGATGGAACTCTTTATCATTTCTATAGCACTACTAGGGATTTTTATGGCGCAAACTTTACACCATTTTTCGGTTCGCTTTTCTTTTGTAAAAATGTTGCCTACAATTTCAGAATCACCACTTTTTCTAGCGGTTAATTTAAAGGTACCAAATCATTGATTATTTGGTCTATTATTGTATTTAAGGCACTAAAAGATCAAAAATAGTAATACTTCAAACTTGATTAAAAACGTATAATATATAAGTGGGTGGGAAAGTTATTAAAATTTATGATAGTGTATGTTGCCAGTTTATATTTTGCTTGTTGAAATAATTATATAGGCCAAAGTCATTTTAAATCTTGACTCGAAAGCATCAAAGCAAATATTTCGTTATTTAAAAGTTATATCTTATTTAACTTTAAAAAGCTTTAATTTAAATTAAAGAAAAATTTTATTAATTTAATGTCAACATTATTTTCTTCATTGTGTACACACCCGTTTCTTTCCCTTCATATCTGAGTTTTGATCACTGTTAGGAATATTATTGTTTCGGTCACTTTTCTATCGATTTTCCAGCAATAATCTCAAGTATTCAATTTGGCAATAACGAATACCCATTTCCACCCAGAGTTAGTGCATAGTTACAGCTCCAGTTTGATATATGTATTCGATCACAGCTTAGACTAATGTGTTTAGTAACATTAAATGCAAAGGGTTTGATTGATACAATAAATTTCCGCACAACCGTCACATATTGTTCCTGATAAAATGCCACATTTTTTATTTAATTTTTAAAGGTGCCTTTATTGACATTTTCAATAAATATTCCACTGGCCTGAATCCGTTTAGCTCTTTTCCTTATTAGTTGAACAAAATGTGAACTGCTTCTACACTTTCAGTAAATACAATTCTGAATCAACTCCCGAAAACAACCAAATTAACTGCTAAAATAGAATTTCAACCACTGCAAATTTTGGCGATTCTACGCTTTTCGTTTGAGATCCAACAAACATTTTTGTTTGGATTAAATGAAAATGACGTATGATCGAATAAATAATGCTTTCGTGTATGGCAAACACATGTGCTCAATAAACGTTTTCAAATGATTTAAAATGACCATAACCTTTTTATTTCATAAACGTAGAAGTTTGCGTTTAAAAAATCTGGCAATTGGCCGATCCGCATTTTACAATTATTAATTGAGATAATAAACTGTGTTAACTTCAGAGAGGATCATATTAATTTTGTTTCCGTTATGATTTAAAATCCGAATATCTTTCTTGAAAATGGTTAGTAAACCTTTACTCGTATTTTCAAATGTTATTTGGAGCATGCTGCTTGAAATACAAGTACTCCACATTGGACTTTGGGCCTAAAATAAATTCAATTATTCAGATTAAATAGTTTTGTAATTAAGTTACAACTCTATTACATACAGATTTAATTAAAATGCTTATTCATTCATGTTTCCTTGAAGGGATTATTTAGGCTTGCTTGCGGATCTGATATCTGAAGATGCGATTTTAATTTTGCCTTTTTCATCTATCATTTTTATGCTTTTACAATAATTCTGTAATAATTTCTGAGAATATTAATATTAGTAGAAATGGGTAAATTCTACAAATAAAAAATTTGCAGACTGCTTAAAAATATGGGAATTTTCTAATTGAAGAAATAGCGGCTGCGCGATAGTTGTTGAGGAGAATGAAGGTTGCCATAGAAGAACTGCTGAAGTCATTGAAAAAGTAACGTTTAAGATCATACTGAATTTGATAGGACAAGCACTGAACATACAACGTTGAAATCCATTTTGAGGTATCGCGCATATTTTTCCTTGATTTCGAACTTTTGAAGAAACTTCTGATTAAATATTAGTTGAATAGCGGTATATTTTCACTCTTCTATCAACTTTGTACTTTTTTGTTGAACATAAATTGTGCCACAATCACTGGGCCTGTGAAAAATCGTACGCACACACGAATAAATGGTAAAATCTACATGCATATTTTATTGAAACAAAAACATATTTTAAGTTTCCCAGCGGGAGTATTATTTGCCTATTTGCAAAGATTTTCAGAGTTCCTCTGAACTGAATCCTTTATTTGCTTCCATTGTTTTTGACAACTTCAATGAATAATACTAAAATTACGCTTGAAAAAGGTTAATTAACATTCTGATTCAAACATTGGCTGCCGTAGACAAACTTTTCAGATATAACTGAGATAAAAGACTATAACATGAAAGCGTCGTTCGTTTCATTAACGTGAAGTGTTTCTGTCTTTTGCGGGTCCCGGTAATGAAATCTGCTCTAATGCAGACATATATTAAGATAAGACCAACCTTTCGGTCTGGTAGAGAGATTTGCCAAATGAGTCTCCGCGGAATTTTTCGAAACAAGAGTCTGTTCAACTTTTGAAACGTGGAAGACGGTGAATTGCTAACGATATTCGTTATTGTCTAAGTTCACATACAGTCTGTGTGCATAATGTGGCGTTTTAGTACCCAAGCGAAACATAGCTTTTAAAAAGCATACACTTAGTAAAACTTTTAATAGCGGTGTAATGTTCATATTGTGTATAGCGTATAGTGTTCCAGTGTAGATCTGATGTATACCATAACTTAATGTAAAAGGGTTTTGTTTTTAATTGGATCAATATTTTGAAAACATTAATACTACCTTGGCTAACATATCTGGCAGAAAGCATAAGTAAATGTATTTGCGAAGTCTACGTACGCAAAACAAGCCAGATTCAAGGGTAAAATATGAGGCACCAGAATCCTAATTACACCATCTGTCAATTTCACGAATATTAATGGATCCATTACGGTTAATTTCGCAGCTTTTCACAATTCCGAACAAAGTACGACCGAATGATAAAATGAATGATTGATTGTTTGTAATGCTGACAAGAGCAAATGCAATCCCAGTTTCCTCATTTTCTCCTGAAATAAGTGCACTATTAGTGAGTGACTGGATCTAGTCAAAACACATAATGTGGGAGATAAAAACACTGATCAATGACTGATGTCCATTACTCAATTTGTTCAAAGTATATGGTTTTTTAATTGCATCATTTCCATAATATGCATTTTTCTGATCCGGAAACGAATATAAACTTGTTCATGATAAAAGTTTTGAGAGTAATACGATTTGCTGGTTTAGAGAGTGACCTAGTAAATGTGAGTCTTTCTTTA